CACTGCAGCTTTGTCATCTGCAGGTCCAGAGCTAGGCAACAGCGTTCAAAGTTATCTGTAAGGGTTAGTCTTCTGCACCTGGGCCTGAAGGCCACCGAAGGGGAGGAGGAGCGGGGAGGGAGGTCTGGCCTCTCATAGGGTCCTTGGAGTGTTTTCACCAGCTCTGTCTCCTAGCCCACCTGCCCTGCCAACTCCCGCTTCTGCCTGGCAAGGCAAGGATGGCAAGACTTTGTCTTATATGCTTTTGACGTACTGTCAGGGAGACCAGGCCCTGGAGAAGGACCTCATGCTTGGTAAAATGGAAGGGCGGTGGAAAAGAGAAAGGCCCTGAACAACATGGATTGACACAGTGACTGCTTCAATGGAGTCCGGCACAGAAACAATGTGAGGATGGCACAGGACCGTGCAGTGTTTCATTCTGTTGTGCGTACGGTCTCTATGGGTCAGTCAACTGGAAAGCACCTCACAGCAACAACAACATGAACAATATATCGAAAGACTCAATAAACGTCAAAAGAAGATGGAAGGAATACACAGAAACATTGTACCCAAAGGAGTTGGTTGATGTTGAACCATTTCAAGAAGTAGGGGATAATCAATATCCCCTGGTATTGGGAAGAAGTTCAAGCTGCACAGACTCCAATTGAGATGTTTCATCAAGGAGTTGCAACACTGGAAGTGCTTACTGGTCTATGCCAAGTAATTTGGAAGATGTCGACCTGGCTAATCAACTGGAAGAGATTGGTTTTTGTGCCCTGTGATAGTTAAGGTTTTCTGTTACTTTCGCTGAACTAAGGTTCAAGTTTGACAGGTAATAACTTGACCTGACCTAACATATTATCAAAACCAAACGGATGTAAGCCTTCATAATGGGATACAATCAGGATGTAATGAAAACTCTTACTTAGGCCACAGTCTTGATCTAATTAAATAAGACTGTAGCCTCATTCCAATGTAAGGACTCTGGAAAAGCTTGCTGTGCTTTTTCCCAGGTCTGAATCCTGCATCTAGCTCTTCAACCTCTGTTTTTTTTGGCTAATATATTGCCTGCCAAATTTGGGAGTCATCAGCAGCCTGCCACCTGACCTATTGATCTTGATTCATATGCTTCTGCAGCCACAAGGCTGGCCAGATGATCTGGGGTTGATTCACCTCGATGGCCAACAGCCTGTGGTCTTCCTATGGTCTTAAATTTATCAGCCCCTGCAGCTACTTGAGTCAGGAAGAGACTCCAGCTTAACATTTGAACACATAGACTTGGAACCTGCCTGGACTTGGACTTGCTTGGTTCTACTGTGAGCCATATATATGTAGGTATATAAATTTCTCTTTCTCTTATATCAACATCACTGATTTTGCTTCTCCAGAGAACACAGCCTAAGACATGCCTATACAAAATATCAGCAAAATGTTTACCTGTGTTTTGTTGACTATGCAAAGACATTTGATATGTGAATCAAAGACTTCAGTATGTATTACAGCTCAACATAAAGAAAACAGAAATCCTCACAATTGGACCAATAAGCAACAGCATGATAAATGGAGAAAAGATTGAAGTTGTCAAGACTTTCATTTTATTTGGATCCACAATCAACATCCATAGAAAACAGCAGTCAAGAAATCAAATGATATCTTTCAAAGGGAAAATCTGCTGCAAACAATCCTCTTTTTTTGGAACAACAATGACGGCATGCAACTGTGTGGATCGTAACAAAGTGTGGGGCCGTGAGAGAGAGGAAGACCCTCCACAAAGTGGATAGACACGTGGCCCCAAGGATGGGCTCAAAGCCAGACTGTTTCATTCTTTCGTACATTGGGTCCTGATGAGACAGAACAATGATGACATCAATTTATAGATAGGTAGCTAGACAGACAAGATAAAGAAGCATTGATGATGATGTAGGGTCAACATTGAACGGTTAACCACAAAGTTGGCAGTTCAAAATCGCAAGCTGCTCCAAGGGAGAAAGTTGAGGTTATCTGCTCCCATAAAGATTTATAGCCTGGGAAACTGTATATAGGGTTATTATGAGCCAGAATCAACCTGGTCTTAGTGGATTTGGTTTGGGTTCATGTGTGTGTTTATGTATGAGGGGCTTCAAGAAATTCGTGTGAAAAGTGGGGTTAAAGATAATGGAATTTTCCACAAACTTTCTGAGGTCCTCTTGCATACATGGAGGAAAAGATCGGGCTCTCTACTCCTGTAAGTTGTATTCTTAGAAATTCACAGGGGCAGTTATACCTTGCCCTATAGTGCCATTATGCATTAGAATCAACTCGACGGCAGCACTTCTTTGGAGTTTTGCATATATGAGTGTAAGTAAAGCATTTAGAAGCTCCTTTGTATATATGAGTAGGTCAAAATAGTTCCAGTTCACACGTGTGTGGGTTTATCCTAACCAAAGGTGTTGAAACATTTCTCTGTGATCAGTGGCTGGCTGCCGACGAGTTCTCAATATTATGTGGTTTGAATGCCTTAAAAAACATCCAATTAAAACACTGATTTCTGAGGTGATCTGCAGGGCCAGTGAAATTCAAGGGCGAGAGGTCAGTCCAGAAGACAATAGTGACTGTTTACATGGATTGCAAAGAGGTAATCCTTATCGGTTTTCTCAAAGAACACAGGACAATCACCAGGGTATATTAGGAAGCTGTTTTAAAGATGTTGAAAACTGCATTGGTGAGAAAAATGCCATGACAGTTGTAATGAGGTATTCTTCTTTCATCATGACACTGCATTTGCCTCATTATTTGAGGGTCACAAGGACTCCTATGAGAATGTGTTTGGGAAATGTTGCCCCATCCACCTTATAGCCCTGATGTTGTCCCTCCAGATTTCGTACTGTTTCCCAATCTAGAGAACATTGAACAGGAATTGGGTCCCTCGAGGATGCCAAACCTACCATTTTGATTTACTCATGAACTATCAGAGGGCTTCAAAACGTGCGTGGAAAAATGCCATTATCTTTTAATTCCATTTTTCTATGAATTTTTAAAAACCTTATGTGTGTTTGTGTGTGTGTGTGTATATTTTTTTTTCAAAGCTATGTATTTATTTTTTTATTTTCTGTTATCTTTTCTTTTTTTTATTAATTGTTTTATTGGGGGCTCATACAACTCATCACCATCCATACATACATCAATTCACACACACATTTTTACATAAACGACATGAGCTAAAGAAAAATAAAATTGGATTTTGTGTGCTAACCAGAATTTATCACTCCCAATATTATTTCTATGTAGAATATATTTTTAATTTCAGAAAAATAGATTAAAAATAAACTTTTCAAATGCAACTTCTTCCTCAGTTTATTTTTGCGTTTATATGAGTGACTCACCCCCCTCCCCCAACTGGAAATGTGCTGGGCGGAGTGGAACTTTCTAGGACGCATGTTTTCCTCACTAGGTGAGCATCGAGCAACTCACTGAGTTGGTGCACCCAGTGGTGTCACCTGGGAAGGTTCTTTCTGGTCACAGTGAATTTTTTCATGAAAGCAGTTTCGCTTAAACCTCATTTCTTATGGTGGCCAATTTAAGAGAACAGCGTGTGGCCGTGAAATTTTGTTTCCTGCTCAGGAAAAATGCTGCAGAAACTGTTGTGATGTTGAACACAGATTACAAGGACAACACTATGGAAAAAACTTAAGTGTATGAGTGTTTTTCTCATTTCAAAATAAGGTGAAATGTTGATTAATGACAAACCTCATTCTGGATGTCTATCAACTTCCCAGATGATAATGTGTAGAGTCATAGTACATTTGGAGTTCATTTCACCAGGTCAGACTGTTAATCAAGTTTGGTATTTAGAGGCTGTGAAAAGATAGAGCAACTGTGTGACAAAAAAGGCCTGATTTGTGACAGACAGGGGACTTGTTTTGCCACCACGACAATGCACCTGCTCATGCAGCCATCTCAGTGCACCAGTTTTTGGCAACAAACCAGAATGCCTCTCTTGCCTCACGCACCTTACTCACCTGACTTCATTCCATGTGACTTCTTTTTGTTTCCTTGAATGAAGAGGGACATGAAAGGATAGTGATTTGACAACATGGAAGAGGTGAAGAATAAAATGAGGGAGGTGCCATCCAAACAGATGAGTTTGAAAAATGTTTCCATGAATGGAATCTCAGATTTGACAAATGTACTGAGTGTAATGGAGAGCACTTTGAAGATGATAAGGTTTTGTTTTGTAAAAAAAATTTCAATACATAACTTAAAAAAAAAATTGTTTTTTTAGTATTCCTTGAACTATGTGAATTAAAGAGAATTCAATGAAAACTAATTTAATAACAATGTAATAATATAATTTAAATGACAATACATTATAGGATTTGCCAACAAAATTATTTTGTTTATTAAGGATTTTTAAAATTATTAAAAAATTCAGAACAAATGTTAAAATTAAACTTGGACACAGCATCTTTCAGTAATGAAGTTCCAACCTCTACTAACAAAAAGCTGTTCACATTTTTCCAAAGTATTTTTAATTGCATGGATTTGCTAATGTACCATGTTGTTCCAACAATATCCAAATGCTGATATACAAGTAATTCCACCTACATTAAGTTAGTACCACATCTGTCTTCTATAGCATGTATTTACCAAACAGTTTATTGATATTGTGGGTTGGCTTCCATTAGCAAATATCCAGTATCAATATATGCAATTCTTGGTCATGAAGTAGCATTCATTGTAGGACTGTAGATGATTGGGGAATCTAATCTAGATCATAGAAATTCATACACTAGTTCCATTTGTTGGCAATTACTTCTTACTCTTGTCCTACTATTCATTAAAAATATTAGTTGTTCTTTGACAGACCACTGTCGATTTGTAACTTTGCTGTTTTATAACAATTTCTGTGCTTCGCTTTTTTTTAAAATGTCAGTCATGAGAACATTTCTATTTGGAAAAGAATTTCCTCCGTCATCTTGGAGCCTGGTTGTTTGCTTCTTCTTTTCCGAATATTGCTGTCCAGAAGATATTTCACCAGCGATTTAAGCTTTACTGGTCATAACTAGCAAATCGTCCAGTGGTGTCACGTGGCTTACTTTATGAATCTCGAGTTTGTTTTTCAGAGGCTTTGAGAGTTTGACGGCTGAAGCACAAAATTTGTGTGTGCTCATTGGCTTCCTGGTAGAAAACATTCTCTCCAATTTGCCAGTCTTAGCGTTCATTTCTTGACCAATCGTTTTGTTGAGGAAACTCTCGGCATTTTTAGTTAGGCTGGCCAATGTCTGTGAGAAATTACAGTGTTTATTCCAATATTTATTTTCTAATATCTGCTTATGAGTTTTCCTCTTCCGTTTCTCCTCTACCCACCGGCACTTCACTTCCAGTGGTGTTGTCGGCTTCTTTTCCCTCCAGGCTGCAGGCACAGTTTCTTTGACATTGGAAGGAGTACTAGATTGGCCACCAATTAGAGATTTGTAGACGCCACGATTTCTTTCTAAAACAAAATTTGCTCTTCCAAATGGGTAAATACTTTCTTTATTGCTATGAGGAAGAGGAATCTTATTTTTTGTCAAGAGTATCATTTGTACATATCTTGTGTCATGGAAAATGATGGGGGTTGTATCATTTTGTTCCTGTAACTTAAAGGAAAAAAAATGAGTCTCCAGGTAATGAGCGGAGAAAGCTACAACATGAAACAAAATCATTGTAAAATATTTTGAAGCGACTAAACATAAGTATTTAACATGAACAATGATATTCAAACACATAAATGTACATGTTCATGCTTTCCTCTCTTCTTAAGAACCCCGACGGTTGTTTGGACTATTACCTGAACTTTTGGCTTCCTTAAAGTTTTTGAAAAGAAACTTTTCTTTTCTTCTGTGAAGAAATAAACATGTTTCTAAATGTTGTCATTGGGAAATAAGATAATTGGTGGGCCAGTGTATTATGCTGGCCTTTACTAAGTTCTCATGCTGCAGAAATAAAGGTTCATTAATGCATGTATTGAGCCAGAGATTTTTAAATAATCACAAGTCAAATAAGCAAGTCTGGATTTCCTACTAATTCAAAAAAAGCAAAATCATCCCTACAATTGTTATATTTATTATACTCCAACACTTAAACCAATATTAAGCATATAAAAATGCTCAATCTAAAAAGTGTACAAGTGGATTTAGGTATGGATTGTGATAAGAGTTGTACAAGCCCCCAATAAAATGATTTTTAAAAATGCTCAATCTAAATGCTCTCATGTTTGCAGAATGTATTAACATGAGTCACAGATCTATTTGAAAATAGGCCCTCTTTGCCATAGCAATAGCCAATCTCTACATGTAAGCTACTCACCAAGCTCCCATATTTCCATTAGAGCAAAAAGATGAACCCCCAAACTGAGCACAGATTCATATTATCAATACTGAGTTTGCAAATTTTAAGCCAATGTAGCTGCTTTTCTTTTAAATATATAATTAATGGAATGAGGATTTTTTGGATTGATTTTATATTAGTGTGCTTAGTATAAAAGGTGTGCGGTGCCTATGATTCCTGAAGTGATAATCAAATATATAGTTCTGCTATGCGTTGGTGATACAAACATTGCCTATTTAGCCACAGTAGTGTTAGTTAAGGAGTCCTGGTGGCATAGAGATTGCATGTTGGACTGCTACTGCAAGGTGAGCAGTTCAAAACCACTCATCGCTCTGCAGAAGAAAGACTCGTGTACAGAGTTACAGTCTTGGAAATTTACACGGACAACTCTACCTTGTCCTATAGGTCGCTATGAGATGGCTCGACTGGATGGCCATGAGTTGTTTGGTTGTTGTTAGTTGCTTGTTTTATAAGGCACCTCTGAGTGGGTTCAAACTACCAGCATTCCAATAGTCACCCAGCACTAGATCTTCTAGTCTGGATACATTTTAGGGAAATTTTCAGTGTGTAAGTGTATGCACCTTTAGATGAAGGCGGCAGCTACCTGTCTTAGTGCCCTTGATGTTAGGGGTAAGCAGCTGACCCAGCTCTGCTAACCAGATGCCCGCTGAGAAGCTTCAGTTCAGGAAAAGGAAGCACTGTGAAAATTGTGAAAAAACATTTTTAAGTAAAGGTGATGGAAGATATATTCAATTTTGTAGGGCAGCAGCGACAAAGGTCTTAGAAGTACTGTCCTTTGCTCAGCATTGAAGTTGTAAATAGTTGCCTGTGACAATAGCGCTGACCCAGGCAAAGTTGTCTGTGGTTGTAATTGGGGGGAATCCTGACCAGAGCACTTTGAAGCCACATCCCCTCGCAAGCCTTCCTTGAATCTGTGTGAGCTTCCAAATTATTAAATTGTTTTCTTTTGGTTGAAAGAGCTGAAGTAATTGTTAGCAACCCATAGAATCATCATGTTTCATTAAAATAGCATTTTAATGTTTATTTTATAGTGCTATTTTATAGCACATATAGCACATATAAACATTAAAATGCTATTTTATAGTGAAGTTGATTTGATAAACATTTCATAAACATCAATGCTAAGGAATCCCCAGTGTTGTTACCTGAAAAATCCACTGTCATTCAGTGGGCAACCCTATATAGGATTTCTAAGGCAGTAAATCTTTACAGGAGCAGGCAGCCTCCACTTTCTCTCTCAGGGAGGCTGGTGGATTTGAACCCCTTGGTTAGTGGTATGTCACTTACCCAACGGTGCTACCTTGGTTCTAGGTAAGCATTAAGAATTTAGGTGGTGATGTCAAATTAAAACGTGAAGCCAAGAGGTGAGAAGGATGTATCAAAGATTCTGGTTACATGGGATCTGTCCCCAAGTAGTGCTATTGTGGCCAGTGTGTCGGTTCTGACTCACGCGATCTCTGTGTGTGAAGAGTAGAACTGTTTATTCCACCAGGTGTTTAAGGCTGTGATCTTTCAGAAGCAGGTCACCAGGTCTTCTCAGGTGCATCTGGATGGGTTCAGACCACCAATCACCTGGCTAGCAGTAGTTAAGCATTTAACTGTTTGTATCACCCAGGAGTCCTTCGAATCAATAGTAATACACAGATATACTAAACAACAGCAGATAGTTTTTTTACCATGTGAGAAACTTCTGTCTTCGGTGCATTCACATTGATTATCTTAGCATTGGGCTTTTTCAGTTCATCCTCAAAGCACAAGGGGAGCAAGTTTTCCTTTCTGACTGAACAATCCCCACTTAATTTAACATTGCTGGCGCACTGGCTTCCTGGAATACTGCAGTCATGTATCTGTGAAGGGGATTTTTTCCTGAAAATGAACACAAATTCAGCATAAATGCTTGTTTGCATTTTAATATTTTAAAAATATTTTTTCAATTGTAACAGGCTGTTTTATTGCCTTTCCTTCAAAAATTGCACTAAAATCACCTTTACTCCTGCTTGTTTGCATTTTTAAATGAATTTGATTTATCGTTGCTGAGAATATACACAGCACAGCCTACAACACCACTTCAAGAGTTTCTACATGTACAATTCAGTGTCACTGCTTACGTCCTTCAAGATGTTAGCATGAATTTTTCACGGTTATTTTTAGCTTATCAGCTCTTGCCTGTTTCCACCACAGGCCTTAAACCTGAGAAAGCTACCCCTTCCTGTTTATCAGGAAAATAGCAAAATAAGGGTAGGAGGAAGACAGACATGTTCCTCTTGGACTCTTTAGTGGGTTGGGAGCACTACTGGTGGAGAGGCTTTGGCGCCCCACCCCCACCGCCCCACCCCTTGAGACGCTGAGTGAATACTGCTTTCAAAAACACCTTCTTGCCAACGCTCCATGGACCTCCTTAGTGACAGGATGGAAAGGTGTGGTCAGGGAGGGAGGCTATTGTTTGCCTCTCAGAACTTCCTTGATTCACAGGGACACGGGCACTGAAAGGTCACTGCTGGGGTGAGGTAGAGCCATAGCAAAAGCTGGGGTAGGTGAAGAGCGATCCCCTCCTCGAAGGGAAGGTGACAAACATGACAGTAACTCCAAGGGTTTGATCACCCCACTGAGAGTGGAGTGTGGGTCCTAGCGAAGTTCAGAAAGATGCCTGAGTTCATGGACCACAGCTGTCAGTGGTTGAAGAACATCAGGGAGTGGGACCCAGTCTACAGGAACGGTACCAGGACCCTTGGCCGTCTCTTGTCTTTCAAGGTTATAAGCTCCAATGAGCTCCTTTTTCTCAGGTACTATCTTGGAGTGGATTGGAAGGCCTATCTTAAACCTAAAAAGGCTGTGAATTATTTGTTCCAAAGAAGCATAAAATACTCTGAAGTAATGATTGCATTTCTTGTTTCATCGAAGCTGAGGGGCTCATGAGAATGAACAAAACTGTTATCAAAGAGGCTCTTTTTTCCTGTGTTAGCAGTGTCAGCCATATTTTTCCTATCCTAAACATGTGTACCCACTGCAGACTAATATTCTCATTTATTTTCCCCGTGGCTTCCTATCATTCAACTGTGAACTTAAGGACTGGATATAATACCAACTAGCCAAGAAGTCTTGGGCCAGTCCTAGGATTGTTGCATGGTAGTAGCAGTCAAAACACGCCATGAAAAATACATTCGGATCTACTAGAAAATAAAAAGCTGAGCTAATTCTATTAGAAACATTATTAACATAGTAAGATACAAAAAAGCATTTTTTAAAGTGTTTTAAAATTACCTTTTATTCAGATAATCTTCTAAAGGACCAATAGGATCAAATGCCATGGTGGGTTTATTTTTTGTTTGAGCTGAAATTATAAAGGTTTTCATAAAACAGACATATATTATGACATTTAGAAAATGTTCTTTATAAAATACTTTGAGAGTTAAAATGGCACCTGGCATCTAGTATAGTGCTGACCCACAGTAGGCACAGTAAGTATTTATTTAGGGAACAAGATTGAACTGGAAAAGACAGATGAAGGCTTAGACATATTAAATATAGAACTAGAGATTTGTATGTGTGTTTGTAAAAAAAAGGCATTGTCGAATTTTTAAATCTTTCTAATACGTGAAGTCAACTTGAAGGATGCCTTGGATGGTTAAATATTGGTGGGATGGGAAGTCAGTTAGCAGGTGCCCAAGATCTTGCCACCTGGGATGAAAATGGTCCCAAATTGACCTCTCCCAGATATGTCTGGTAGACACACTTCTGTTTCAGAAGTGCTCCTAGACACATGCTCTTTCAGCAACAAACTCACAACGTTAAGGGTTTTCCTAAACTCTGAGTCCATCTAAAGTAATGCTAGGAAGCAAGGAAATAAATTAGGTGTGACAATTCCATTTCTCTCAAAAGGTGACAGGCACAGACCTGGAATGCTATTGACTTGCAATAAGGAAAGGATTCCCCATCCTTTTGCAACTCATTATTGATAACTATGGTAAAATGAAATTCCTTGGTCTGACTCTTACGATGTTTGGGTGGGAGTGTGCAAATAAGGTGCATGGAACTCTTAGCTTGGGGGCTGGTCAGTTTTGCCATTCCTCTGAGCTATTTCAGAAGCAAAAACAAGAGCAATCCTGTGACTATGAAGAAAGAGGAGCCACCAGAGCAGGGCACCAGTGGCCACAGCACTGAGATCATTAGACAGAGCAGAGGCACAGCACTGAGACCTTGAAACGGAGACCATGGAGCAAGGCAGAAGCAAAGGGCCTACATGGCTGAGGGGTGGAGGACTAGACCGAATCATGGCTGCTGGCTGAGAAGAAGTGTTGCTATGGACCAAAGACTGTACCCTTAATGCTTTCTCATCTGCTTTGTGTTACTCTGTTAATGTCCCTAATAAACTCCAGTCATAAATGGTAACTTCACCTAATAAATGGTATCAGTTGGCCAGTTAGATCTTTTGTAGTTAGTTGGCCAGGTAGCTGTCTTCCATATTTCCTGGCATAGACAAGTGAATGCTTCAGCACTTCATCAGCTTGTTGAAACGTTTCATTTGTGTTCTATCAATTGGAAGCGATCCATACTTGTATCCATTCCAAAGAAAGGTGACTCAAGAGAATGTTCAAATTATAGAACAATATCATTAATACATTTGAACATTGAATTTTTTTAAATCATTTTATTGGGGGCTCATACAACTCATCACAATTCATCCATCCATCCATTGTGTCAAGCACATTTGTACATTTGTTGCTCTCATCATTCTCCAAACATTTACTTTCCACTTGAGTCCCTGGTATCAGCTCCTCATTTTTCACCTCCTTTCCCCACCCTCCCTCCCCTCTGATAATTTTTAAATCATTATTGTTCCATGTCTTACACTGACCGACGTCTCCCCTCACGCACTTTTCTGTTAACCGTTCCCCAGGGAGGGGGTTATATGTAGATCCTTGTAATCGGTTCCCCCTTTCTACCCCACCTTCCTTCCACCCTCCCGAAATCGTCACTCTCACCACTGCTCCTGAAGGGATCATCTGTCCTGGATTCCCTGTGTTTCCAGTTCCTATCTGTGCCAGTGCACATCCTGTGGTCTAGCTGGAATTGTAAGGTAGAGTTGGGATCATGATAGTGGTGGGGGGGGGGGTGGGGGGGGGGAAGCATTTACAAACTAGAGGAAAGTTGTGTGTTTCATCTTTGCTACACCCGGACTGACTCGTCTACTCCCCGCGACCCTTCTATATGGGGATGTCCAGTTGTCAAGGCTTGAATTTTGTCTTGAGTTCTTTCAGTTTAAGATACCTGAGTATGTTTTTCCTTTTTGGTTTTCTAACTCCAGGTCTTTGCACATTTCATTACATTGTATTTTGTCTTCTCAAGCTGCCCGTTGAAACTTTCTGAACTTAGCTCTCTGACTTCATGATTGCTTCCGTTTGCTTTAGCTACCCTACCATCGAGAGGAAGTTTCACAGTCTATTCTGACAGCACTTTGATGTTTTCTGTCGTTTTTGCTTTCTGCATGAACCATGGTCTTGATGTCCTCCCACAGCGCATCAGGTCTTCTGTCATTAATGTTCAATGCATCAAGTCCTTTCATGATGTTCTCAACATCCAATGTCATATTTTGGCTCTTGTTTTTTGGATTTGTTTTATTTTCCAGCTTCTTCCTGTAATTACATGTGAATAATTGGTGGTCTATTCCATAATCAGTCCCTGGCCTGATGTTAGCTGCTGATACTGAGCTGCTCCACCGTCTCTTCCCACAAATGCAGTCAATTTGATTGCTGCATATTCCATTTGGAGAAGTCTATGTAAAGTCACCATTTTTGGTGTTGAAAAAGGTATTTGCATTGAGGAAGCTGTCAGTCATGCAAAATTCTTTCATGCAATTTCTAGGTTCCTTTCTGTCACCACAGTAATATTTTCTGGGTCCCTTTCTTTTTTCCAGCTTTTATAATCACCAAAAATTATGCATGCATCTTGATTGTCTGTTTGAAAAGTTTCTGACTGAAGACACTGGCGAATTCTTCAATTTCCTCATTACTAGCTTAGTGGTTGGTGCATAAATTTGAATAAGAGTTGTACTGACTGAATTTCCTTGTATGTAGATAGATAATATCTAGAGAAGGAGAGTGTGCTAATATACTTTCAGTAAATGACATGAAGGCCCTATATGACTTTCTCTGGCTTGCTCATTTGAGAGAAGAATTTTGAATGGATATTTCATCACAGTAAGTTTTGATGATTGTTTCTGGAAGTTGCAGCTTTGACTAGTCTCCTTATTCTCACTCTACCTAAACGCCCTCTCTCCTTCCTGCCCCTTTCCCTGCCTCCTTGGTATGTGCCCAGGGTATTTGGGCGTAATGATTTAGTGCGGTAAATAATTCACTGTTGAATTGTTAACTTAAATTTTGGATAAAGAATCAGAGAAAAACACCAGATGCAGTGACATGCAAGAAATATAGATTATATTCCAGATGGGAAGGCCATAAATGTTCAGAAAGAATGTACAACTAAGGTACTGACTCCCAGAAAAGTATAAAGCTCTGACCTATGAGAGAGGGGCAGATAGTCTTGGAGAAAGATCTCACTGTCCTTCCAGATGGGTAAGAAAGTGTAATCTGATTCTTAAACCTGCCTCTGTGATTGGTTGCAGCGGCTGGTGGCCAGACCTAAGAGGCAGAAGTCAGGCATGCTTCCACAACCCATGCTTCCTGACCCAATTTCTGACATCAGCCATTCGTCCCACAGTACTCTACTTTTATGCTGGGTTCCATAACTCATTGCGCTGACTACACAAACCTTACAGACAATACGCACCATTAAGGGGGTTTATTAGGGAAATGAATAAGGTACTGTGTATCAGGATCAGCAAACAGAAACGATACAGTTGGTGGCTATAGCAGCACCTCTCCTCAGCCAGTAGCCAAGTCTCTCTCTGCTCCTCAGCCTCTCAGCCAGGTGGTTCACTCTACCTGCCCGTCCGTTGTCCTGTCGCTGCTCCTCTTGCTCTGTCCCCTGGTCTCCCTGCCACGCCCTCTGATGCACTTGGCTTTAGTGACCTCCACCACTCTAGACGGAGGTCTTGGACATGCTCTCCCAATGGTCCTGGGCCTTCCCCCCCTCAGAGACTGATGACTCTTATCCACAGAGGAATGCCTTTGATTGAGGTGTGGTTTTTACCTTTTAGCCGAACATACTCTCAAAGAAAATGAAGGATGGTGGCTTAAGTCATACCCTCTAGTAAAGCAGTCTTTAGATACATCCCACCTTAATCCTGGAACAGAAAATGCTCTCCAAAATGAGATTACAGTATAGCCATAGGCACAGAGTCCAGAATTATAATACATCACATAAGGGCTTTGATTACAAGGACCATATTAATTGACTACCTTTCAGTGATGGACACAAGAATGAAGGAACTGTTCTTCAATCACGCCCTTGCGCACTCGGAAGAGTGAAGCACACGACCCTCCACAACGTAAGTGGGTCTCGAACAATTAGCACAAGACCTTACGAGAGAAAAGATGAGTCTCCCCACGGTGTGCTCTGCCCTAAGACCACAAATCCACAGTTTACTAGAGCACTCCTACGCGCCATTCTTCCACACCTGACCTATGGGTTTGGGAACATCAGCTTGCAGGAGCCTCCTGCCTGCCATCAAATGCGTGGTTCTTGTTCTACCCAGTCCTCTCCCTGACAATTGCATGAGCCAATTCCTGGAAGTAAACCAATCTCTCTCGCTCTCTCACTGGTTTTGATTCTATAGACTACCCTAAGATACTAGTAGAGAAAGAAAGAAAGAAAGAAAGAGAGAGAGAGAGAATGAAAGAAAGAAAATAATTTGGGCTCCAAGAGCTTAATATTCTGCTCCATGTATTTGTATACTAGATTATGGTATAAAAAACATTTCTTACTGTGGATCAAATTAAATGTTGGAAAAACTGAAGTAAACCAGTAATGACTTATTGTTCTAGAAATGGGGACATAAAGTTATTCTAGTCAAGAATCCAAAGGGGTTTGGATAACATTTTTCTTATTCTTGTGAAAGGGCAAAGGGCTTTCCTCTTTCTCAGTGAATGTTGTTGTCCATAAAGTGACCGTGAACAGCAAAACTGGGAAGACAAACTAATTTCTCTGACCACTGAGGGAAGATGCGGAAACTGGATATTTGCTGATCTCATCAAACCCTTGAATGAACCAGCCCTGGAGCTGCTTTGACGAGCTCTGGTGGCAGAGTGATTAGGCATTGGGCTTCTAACTGCAAGGTGAGTAGTTTGAAACCACCAGTTGCCGCTCAGGAGAAAACGGGGCTTTCTACACCCACAAAGGATTCCAGTCT